CTATGAATACCGGCCTTAGAATTTTTATTCGAAGCTATGAAAAAATAAATTGCGTATAACTTCCCATCTTTCACGAGGAAAAAGTATTAATTAAAAGTATATTAAAACTACTTAGTTAGAGTTCAATAAAAAGTAGGATTTTGTTCTGGACGCAAAATTTGCATCTTTTAAGTTGGATTTCTGAGAATACTTTAATTCTTGAATAATTTATAATTATGTTGGTTTCTGTGAAAAAAAAGTTATCTTTTTTACAGAAATTTATCTTGCTTTGCTTTTGTTTTATTCTGGTGCAGTGTCTTGTAGTATCTAGGTAAAAATTTACGTAAGTATTATTTTTTCTAGGTACTTTTTTTTGTGTACGTAGATATATTTATAAATTAATATAATTTCTTGTATATATCTCGATACCTGTATTTAGGTACATTTTAATTACTTTTTGGACAATACTTTCCTACATTAAATGCACGTTCGAACAAGCGCTTAGCTTGATAAAAACATGTTTAATATAAATTATTTTATAATTAGATATTTATTAAATATATATGGTACATTTTAACATAATTCTTTTCAATTTGGAATCCAAAAATCCAACTAAAAAAAATTGTGTATTTAATGCAGGGCAACAAATTTTAACGCCACGACGGAGTAATTTGTTCGATGACAATTTTGAATATTTGATTCTTTTGAAAGATAATACATAAATTAAATACATTATTTGAATAAAACTGATTAATAGATTTATAAGTATTACTTCATTTTATTGTACAACATGCCCCAAGCAGCAAAACTAGTCGAAAATATGTTCTTTCGACCTCCAAATAGGTCCGAAAGTCTATTGAACCTGATCTAATGAACGTCGAATCAACGTCGATCTGACGTAAGTGGAGAATGAAATAATAGTAATTAGATGGTATTAATTAGGTAATGGAAGGCATTTCGCCCTATAAGTCATAGTCGGATTTGGACAAATGAAACTAGCAGAAGGTCGAATATCGGTAATATCTTGGTAATTTTTTACCTAATTCTGACTAACTTGTGCCCTCTCGATCCTTTCTTAGCGATTCAGCTCGTCGAGATATCTAGAGATGGCAACGCTGCACATTTCCATATTAATATATCTAGACGGGTAACCATGCCACAGCCATATAACATATGCGTGATATGGTTCCGACTATCCATAGAAGGTTGGAATAAAATATTAAGAATCCATCTCCGATTTCGAAACTGAATATCGTGTGATATGTGACAGAAATATAAATACGAAAGAAGATTTTCTGTACTGATTTTTATTTTACTTTGTTAAAACCAACGCGCCTTCAAAAATAAATAATTTAAACCATAATTAATTAATGATTAATTATTTGACAACAATATGTTTGGCACTTAGCACAATAAAAATATTTCAATCTCGCACTTAGGTTAAAAGTAGCGTGAAATAGATGCTTTTTTCAATTTTTAATCATTTCGAGAAATATAATATGATTTATTTTATAATTCATAATTTTGGAAAGCATTTTAATATATCATGGCGGACAGAACAGTTCTCGTAATAATGGCTGATTTAACGTTTTCGTCTGAATTTCGACCTGTAGGTCGAATTTCCTTATTGTGAAGGTCAAATACCTAACTTTGAGGGCAAATTTCCTTAATTAGGGCATTTTTACTTCCAAATCGTTGATTTTGAGGGCGGACTTATCGATCAATAAGACATTCTGACTAACAAATCCAATTTCCCTATTTATAAGTTAAATTGATTTCAAAGTCGAGATCTTTAGATCGATATCAAAATCGATACATAACCAAAATGTTAGAAGAAAAACGCGTTCTCCCTGATCGAATGATATTTCGAGACTTCTTTAGTCAATATGAGATCTGTTTTTCATGGATGAATTAGTGTACACTTTTGGAACTTAAAGTGAGAAAGATACTATATATGTTTGATATTTGTCGAAAGTGAGAAAGAGAGTTCTAGTGCAGTCTAGTGCATGAACAGAAAACAGACCAATTAAGTAGGAAATAGCTAATATCACGAAAAAAAATCTTATGAAATTTGCGCAACAAACAGAAGTTGACACAATAATAATAGATGGCAAATTTCAATAAGGTCTAAGATCAATAATTACCTTTCAGAACAATTTTGCTAGGCATTTCAACCTAATCTTGGACCAATTTCCCTCATAGATCATTTTCCGTGGTAATCTCAACTTCTCGTAGTTAGCTTCCAGCACGATCGCGAGGTTTATTTCGTGCCTTAAATACTTCCTATTATATATAGTCAAGTCAAACACAAAGGCCTTATCTAAGGCAAAAATCAAATAATTCTGACCAATTGAGTCATATTGCCTACGAGGTTGAAATTAAGTAACACAACCAGGTCATATTTCCTTCAAAGTTTTAATTTTGACTTATAAGTTAAATTGACTTTGAAGGCGCATATTTGATAAAAGTTTGGTCATTTATAAGCTAATGTGTAACTTTAAAGTCACTGAACTTTAAAGATATTTCGTAGGTTTAAACTCCGTAATTTTCGACCTGTAAACAAAATTTCAAACGATATTTGACTTTTAAGACATTTTTTACGTCGAGAATTGGTAATTTTTTACTTAATTAGGGCGATCTGACTTTGATTTGGTCAAAATGCCCTGCTTTGCTGCTTGGGTGTTAAACTTACTCACATAAAATATTTGTGTATGTATGTACATATAATAAAATACGTATAATATTATACATATAAATATTATGTGCGGATATAATATGAAATTATGAATGCTTATTTATTCTGAAATTTTATGTTAATAAATAAAAGTCCCTGCACTTTTTTTTAAATATGTTAAGATGCATTTGATGTATCTGTATCTAGGTATTTTGTTTTTCTAATACTTGTACCTGTGTACCTAGGTACTGAAAATAAAGTATCTTGCACAACACCATGTAAGAAAAATCCTTCCGATTATTTTACCCTAATATTTTTAAAAAGGAAGAAGCTATTAGGAAGTTTTTGCAACAACGTGAATCTAGATACAATGAATGCTAAAGTCACGTTATCCTTTTCTTAATTAGTTGTTAAGAAGAAGACAACCTTAGCGCTCACTGTAACTGGATAAACGTGGTATTGCAAAAACTCTCCTATTCCTTATCTGTAGCATAAAGTATCATGTCTTGTATATGTTTATATATGTATATTTATACATATTTATGTATTTTTAGATATATTTATATATGTTCATGCATGAAAAATTTTTTACCGGGTATTTTTTTAATTGTGTCACTTTTGAAGTGAGTTATTTTTTAATAATATGATCTGTTTCTATTTTCGTAATCTATATAAAAAACGCTAATCCGTTTGCACGTTTTGCAATAATTCGGTGTTGTGCCATACGTAGGCGCCATACAGAAAAGGAAATGATCGCGAACGCAAAACGACATAATTGACTTAGCGATAATAATAAGCAAACAGTCGCATTGTTCCCGCGAAATGGAATTATAGATACGTTCCTTTGGCTGTAATCGGATTTACTATCGTCGGCACAATCGGTCTATTGTAAAGTGCAACCGGGCACATCCTGCGTCCGATGTAACGATGAATTCCGCATTGAATGCAACAGACGCCAACTTACCGCCTCCGGATTTACTGCGAATCGCGTCGCCCGCATACATTCGCTACACGTATGTACTGCGTAGAAAAGTGTTCTTTCCTCCAAATTGCATGTGCTTCAAAGGGACAGTTTGTTAATTTCTTTTGTTAATTTTGTTAATTTCTTTTTTTAATTACGTTTGAATATTATAAATGGAATATTACAACGCATTATACATTTACATTCCTCAGGATATAACTTATAAAGCAACAAAGAGATTTTTTTTAAGTACAGTACGTCTTGTAAGCAACATTTCGTCGTATATATTATATATATATTATATATGGTGAAAAAAGTATTCGTACAGAGATTTTATTTAAAAAAATTTTATTTGTGAAAAAAAATATTAATTAGAAATTTATTAACAATACGTTCTGTATCTGTTCTAATTTAAACAAAGGAATTTCACAAAAATAATCGTGATTGTATGATCTTAGAAGCTAAATTTTTCGATTGTACGAATACATTTTGTGCTTTCAACTAATACATTATTTTTCATTTTCATTTATTATTAAAGAAACATATTTTAATTGTTGCAGCGTTGTTTATGTTTTTAAAAATTTTTGTATTCATCAGTTACCATCATTTCAAACATAATTTTAAGAAATCCCTAGAGATAGCAGGAAAGAAATGTTCGTGGTAAACGTTCACGAGAATAGAACCAATGCAAAAATATTGCTAGGAGAAATATATACGAGTATATGAAAAGAAATTTCTAAATCTAATAATATCTCAACATATTCAGAATTTTTATGAATTCAAGAAATGCTTGAATTTCGTGAGAAGTTCAAATAGACCGAAGAAATCAGATTCTGTAAAAATATAAAGGGAAAAAACTCGTTTTTCACCTCACATTCAGGTAATCACATCATTACATTTCTTTTTATTTAAACAATTTTTTTCCATTTTGTGAATTATTTTAATCTTTTAAGTGTATTAATAAATTATTGTTTGTGGTATTGTTTACTTAAATACACTTAAAAAATAAAAAGTTACACAAAATGGGAGCCTATATTATCATCTATTTTCTGCACTCACTGTATTAAATATTTGCTCTTAATCAATATTACTTCTATTTGATTTTTGCTCAGCAAATTAGAGCTAGAGAATTGAGTTTAAATATTTTTCATACATGTCATTGGCAATTAGTAAAAATTTACATATATAGAGATCCATTTTTTATGTAATTTATGCATTTATTATAAAGTTCATTTTAAATACATGTTATTTTTTAAGAATGAAACAACACGAGTACAACTTTGTTTAGACAAATAATAACAGTACACAGGTGAAAAAAACATCATAAAAAGTTGTATGTATACTAAGAATAAAGGACAAGTAAAAAATAATATTCTCTACCTCTCGGTTTTGTATAAAATATACATCGCCAATCTTAATGCGCGAAATTGCGGAATATGATTACATAAAGGTGATAAAATATCTAGTCTCTTGTATCCTTTTCGCGCTGAAGGTCTCTCTGCATCATAAAATAACTCTGTACGGATATCAACGAGCGTTACTCAATTTATGATGTATGCTACATTGATAAATAAACTTCTCTCTCTGCCAATCGAGCTGTAATGTGTTATTACCATGTACATTTTAATGTAACAACGTAAAAGTGATTAAAAAAATTGCATACTTACAGTTCTGTCTATTCTAGACTTAGGCGATCCCGCATTTCCCGTTCGTCTCTTTTCATCCTCGTGAAAACTGAATCGTTATCACGAGAAGAGTATATGAGATTAAAACACTCGTTTCGAAATTAACTATTATAATAAATGTATACAAAATATAAATTACTTGTATTCCTGTTTAAGCCTTAGATCCCGGGAATATAATTCCATTATGGCAACTGTCTCATTATTTTCAACATCGAGAACTTTGGAGCGAAACGTATCTTTACTTGTTTTTTTACTTAAAGATGATCCATCCTCTCTCGTGTACTGCTTACACAAGGTGAATTTATTGTAAAACCTATGCTCTTGAGAATTGTTCCGACAGCTATCGTGGTCCTTCTTGATTTCGACATGTGCGATATTAGATTCAGTATTCTCGGTCACGTGGGAGCTCAAAATATTGATTCGATTATGCAGCTCCGACAGTTCCTTCAAATTCAGCGACTAGAAAGAATAACCAATAACGAATTCATGCAAAAAGTTACTTATTAATCTATTTCCTCACGTACTTGCAACCAACTCTCTGCGTCAAATGGACTCTTCTCGATTTTCATGATATCGTCGAATCTCGCTTGTAATCTTTCGACATTTTCGTTATGCCTTTTACGAAAAGCAATTAAACTACTGTCATACTTTTTCTTCAGTAACATCAATTTGTTCTGATATTCTTCTACTTGACGCTGTTAGATTGAAAAATTAGAGTATTTAAAATTAAATTTGTAATTAAAATTGTTTTAAAATTGTTAAAAATTATATACAATATATGAAATATATGTATAATGATAATCAACTTTTTGTTCCTCAACAAATAATGAATGTTTTTTGTAAGGCTTTTTATATTGAAAAAAAATATGTTTTTAAAAAACTTTATCACCTTTAATTTTCACTCTGCTTTGAATTTCTTATCTAATAAAGTGATATTTATAACATAGCTATAGAAAGTTTAAATATTTTTTACAATATGTGAAAATGTAATGATATAAATGTGATGATAAAATTCCTTATTATTACGTAATTTTAAGTGATATACTAAAATAATAAGATTTATTAGAAAGTTATAATGTATAATAAAAAATATAGAATTACTGTAATTCTCAAAATTCTTATTTGTCATTACCTCTAAATAATAATTCTTACTACGTAAAATAACAAAAAGTTGGAAATTGTTTATATAGTTTTCTAAAAAATAAAATCCTCGATTTTTCAAAATCTATGGGTAATGGAAACATTTGAATTTTATATTCCTTTCTAGTAGCTAAAAATATAAGAATCACAACTTAGACGTTGAGAAACAGAAACCTTGTAACACAATGTTATTAATCATAATTAAAGGAAAGGAGGCAGTTGTAAAATAGGTGGGAGGTTATAGAATACCACAATATCTCGTATAGTTTGTGATACATTCTGGGGGCAATCGTCAAAATTACTTCTGTCTGTTTACATAGAAGTAATTTTGACGAATGCTCCCAGATTGCATCGCAAATTATAACATGGCTACTCGTCGTTAGTGTTTACTGCGTTAGCGTAAAAGCTATATTTCAGTTTTGCAGGTAGCAGATAGTTTTACGGATGTGTACACTTTACGTAATTTTGAGAAATATGTTGATATTAATTTTGTAACTTCAGTCTAGCCTCGAATGTAGCTTTCAAATAATATAATTGAATTAAATTTGATAAAATGTATTCGAAGAACTTCTACCTAATGTACTCGTATGAATATATCTAATACTCAAATAAATGGATGAATAATGAATTGAATATGAGTATGAATATAATTGGAATATTTTTTGTATTTAATAAATGAATAAATACTTTTTATTTGATTACAATTTGAAATAAATAGATAAAAATCAATATCTAATTAAATAAAAGAAATCCTATTTTTCGGTCGAAGCAAATCTTAGTACCTACTTAAATATTTATGTGTGAATTTATCTGATTCTGCAAATCGTGCAAATCTTTTTCGATCTTGAAACGCAATCATAAACAGAACCAAAGTAGTAATACCACACATCAAATTGACACGTAATTTTTAAGCATCTTTATAAGAGTATTAATAATCTGATGTTAATAATAATCTTAAACCTATTGCAAAGAATACATCTTTTTATTTAATTTGAATTAATATATTTGTGATTATCTATATGGTTACGAATTTTTTTGATTTCACATTCATTCCCATTCTATGATCGTAACTGCTTTATTTAATATGAATATTTCTTAGTAATGACATCGATAATATCGCTCTCATTTTCTTCTCGGTATAATTATATTTTTCAAACTTTAACCAAGTTCAAAGGCAGAATAGACTACATCAGAGCAGTAAGCGATTAAATTTGCTTACAAATAAGTCAAGCAGGGTTAGTCAAGAAGTAACTCATACTTGTAACGAAGTTACAATTAGTCACTTTTTTCAGTAACTGTAACTTAACTTCGTTAATTTTTTTCATCTATAACCGTAACTCAATTTATACAATTAGTTATATTTTTTGGTAACTATAATTATTGTAATAACTAATTTAATAGTTATATTTATAATTACTTCACATCAAACTATGCGGCGTCAACACATGGGCTGACCACATAATAGAACGTTCAGTGAACAATCAGTGATTATTTCTTGTAATTAGACTATGTCTTTACCTCTGATCATGTGAATTCTTACAAAATAAACACAAAATATATATTCATAAATAAATATTTTCAAAACCTACAGTTTCGGACAAATATATGAAATATCTTTTTAATATGAAAATTTTGAATAAATATTTGTAGCTCAATTACGAATTTTTTCATCGAATATGTACTACTTCCATCTATGTATAATTGATATCACTCTATGACTAACAAACTTGTGCCAAAAATAGTTATGTTACATAAATATTTAGTAAGCGATTTCAATAAAACGAAATTGTATATATAATATATATATATATATATCCCTCTCTTCCTCTTCAATAAAACAAAATTGTATATATATATATATATATATAAATCCCTTTCTTCCTCTATTTTTAAAATAAATTAAAAAATTTTTTAAATAATGTTAGAAAAGAGAAGAAACTAACATGCACATATAACATACTGTATATGTGCATATATAAATTTATGTACTTTAACTTTAGTTCGTAAATCATTTTTCTCCTGCAACAAATGGGTAATATACTCTTGAAGGTTTCTTATTTCCCGATCTCTTAGTTTTACATCATCCATCAACTTTTGAATTTCTTTCAATTTTTCCTCGTATTGTCCTTCGAGGAATCTTAACTTGTGCGCAGCATTTTCAGAATTGCAATCTACTTCTCGAACGACCGGATCTAATGTATCCTCATCTTGTTTACAAGACTAAGGAAAACTGCGAGTGTTAGTCCGATTGCATTCAATACCAAGACGTTTATAATAAACATTTTGGAAAAAAAGTTTAAAATATTTTAATGAGCAATGAAATTTAATAAGCTCATTTATGTGTACCTTATCAGCATATATTTTTATCTGTGGCTTTCCTATCTCATCTTTCATTTCGGAAACCTTTTTATTTGGACAATGTTCAGACGCGTTTTCGGTCTCATTATCATATTCCCTAATTTCTGTTCGAAGACGCAGAAGTGTCTCGCAAAGTTTATTAGGAATCGTATATAGCGCGTCCTTTAGAGATGACTTTACCGCGTCTTTATAAGGATACAACAACTGATCATTAGTACTTCTTATTGTCTGTGTGTCTGCCTGCAATGTCTCATTTCCGTGCGATAACGCTTGCAGTTTACTTTCGACGCTTGCGGTGGAGCTCCGGTAATTCGCTATTTCACCCTTTAGATAGTCCACTTTCGCCAACAACCTCTCCACGTTATCCACGTCCAAATCCGATAGACTCGCCCGCAGGACATTTATCGCCGCCACATTGTCGCTCTCTTGCTTTAACGATAATATCGTGTCGTTACTCTGAGCGAGTTTAACTTCGGCATCCCTTAACAGATCGTGCAGCGATTGATTCTCGTCTCGCAATTTCACGATATCGCTGTGCTTCTGCGTCAACATCGCGTCGTATTTGATGCTCTCGTGAGTCAAAGCCATCCTGTTTTTCTCGTCCTTACATTCTAGCTCCGTTATGATCTCGGCATTTTTGGAAATAGTCTCGTTCGCTTCAATAAGCTTATTTGTAAGATCGTTATTCTTCATTTCCAGATCGATCAATCTGTTGGATCGATAAATCGACTTAAGGATAACGGATCGAGTATTGATAAAGGTAAAAATAATAATGAAATTACTAACTTCTTTTTCATGCACTCAACATTTTTCGCTTCCTCCTTTAAGATATCGATGATGTGGCTCAATTCGTCTATCTGCTGAGTTAACTTACGTATCTGATCTCTCTGTGCTCTCAGCTCTTCATTCAGCACGTTATTCTCCTTCGAAAGTAAACTTTTCGCATCGACGAGATCGGCATTCTCGTCTTTTAACGCATCGCACTCCGCACGGTAAGAAAAATTATCACTCTCCAACGCAGTAAGGTGTCCGTGCAGCCTCTCGATCTTCAAATCCCTTTTACTTATTATAGCCTCCAACACCTTCTCTTTCTCCAACATCTTTTTCCTCAACTGCTCCTGAATTTCGCAGTCGCCCTCGCCCCTTCGTATATGCTCCGCCACTTTTTGCTTTAATTCCGTAATCTCGAGATCCTTCTTTTGCAGCTCCTGCTGCTGCCTCGTGTACTCTTTGACGATTTGTACGTGGTGATCTCCAGCACCTTAACGAATTTTCACCATCTTGGATTATTATCAATTATTCATCATGTATCGGTTTAAGAGGATTTCTACATTGTGTGTGTGTCGTTATTTTCTTAGGAATTTTTAGGTATTTTTTGGAAAAGTGGGTAAATATTTTTTTTAATTTTTTTTATCCTCTATTATTATCTCCTATTTATTATTTTTCAAAATAAATTTGCTATTTTTCCCTATAAAAAAATATAAATAATAGATTTATTTGATTTCTACCCATCGCATCGTGTGTACGGTTTATAACAAAACCTACCTACGCGCGCGCGATCAGGATTCTCAATGAGTTGAAATTAAAAAAACGAGACGTTATAAAAAAACTGCAAAACAATGGATCTAGACATGGAGAGATAATTCACGAAAGTTGTAAATTTGTAAATTTGTTAATTCACTTTCGTGAATTATCTCTCCATGTCTAGATCCATTGTTTGAATGTCAACATTTTGTAAACGTTGCAGTTTATTCCATAAGGGCAAGGAGCAGCTTGATACTGTATAACTCCTCGCTCTATTGAAGTGAACTGCAAATTTACAAAATTTTTGGTATTTAACAATGAATCTAGATACGAAAATATTAACTCGCATAACGTATAGCTATTATAAAAAGAACTTGTGGAAGCTCCTATTATAAATAAGATGTTATTTTAATCTGAATCTTTAATTTGCAGCTATTTTTTTTCGTCGAAATTAGAATTGTTTTAATAATTTAATTTTTAATATTTTTTCAGGGTTCGAAAACTAAAGAGTGAATATCGAACTTTTTGTTATAAACAACTCAGTTATTTATTTATTGAGCGAAATAAATAATTCTAATTTCAAAGATAACTATGATTATTCTGATTAAGATGACGTCTCATGTTTCAATTTCAGCCCATTGAGAGATTTGATATCATAATTGCAGATAAACAGTACACACCATGTGTAAAAATCAAATAGATCTGTTAATTATTTGAATTTTTTCTAAAAAAAATAACAAATCTATTTAAAACAATAAATAATAAATAAAGGACAAAAAATTACTTTCAAAAATATTTATCCTTTTTTCCTTAAAAAAGATAAAGTACCTAAAAGTCTTTCCTAAAAGAATAGCGCGACAAAATAAAAGTAATCTTCTTAAAAAAATTATACATGAGATGTTCTTTAGATATAATACCTTGAAGAACTGCAGATATTCTATGCATCTTATCGATGGAACGTTTGATATGCGTTGCGAGAGCGCGATCAATATCTTGATCAGGAGACACTGTAGGGTCTCGATATGAAATTATTTCGTTCAACTCTACTTTTTCCGATTCTTCCGAATATGTTGTGGTAGTATCAACGTCATCCGACTGAATCTGAACGTTAACTAGTTCTTTAGATGAATGGCAACCGCCATTACTCGATGTGGAAATATTTTCTGTAATATTATAAACTTGACACAAATCTGCATCAGATTATCTATTAATACTCAATTAATTTTTTTTCCACATAATGTAATATCGTTATTATATTACTTATTTGCTTATTTAATAAGAAATACAAAATTTGAGACAAAATTATTAGTAGGAATCTATACAAATAACAAAAGTTTACATAAATACATAAACAAGAAAAATATAAAATTAAAAAAGAGTTTTTCAAGAAATAACAAGCAAATAAATTTTGTTTAAAGTGCACAATAGAACACTAAAAAAATCTACAGTATCTAAATAATTTTTTTCATATATTATATATACATATTCGATTGATAGAAATGATTAGCAAAACTTTCATAGAACTTTTAATGGAAGAGAAATTAAAGAGCGGATCAGATTTTTAGATTTATGATATCTCAAGGATTTGAATCGTGTATTATTGTATCGTAACGGAGCAACTAATATGAGAAATAAGAAATAAAACGTAATTCTTTCTTTCTTAAGAATCACTGATCCGAACTGTAATAGCGCAGATTGATTTGACATGAATACGGCGTCGGATTATTGGAATAGCAACCTAGGCAAGATGAAAAGATCTCGGGCTATACCTGCAGCCGGCTGAATCAATCCATGTCCAGTATCAAAATCTGTGTTTGTAATTTCGCTGACGGTCTCTTGGCTGTAACATGTCACATAAGCCTTTAAGTTATCTATCTCTCGCAGACGATTACGTCGTTCTAGTTTACACTCCTCCAACTCGGCTATGAACGATTTTAAAGCAGACAACGCGCTCTGCACGTCTAAGCAAGTATCGTGCTCGCACTTGGTGTAATCGCAAACGCCTTCGTACGCTATCTTAGACTCGTCGAAATTATTCAGACTACTTTTCAGCATGTTAGTCAGATTACCGACTTCCCGCTCCATGCAAACTAGTTGCATTTCGCACTGCGAAATCTTGTCGTTTTTTGCCTGAATCTCATTTCTCAAGTCGGCCACTACACCATTCATCTCTACCTGATCGTGAAAATTATTAGTGGAAGAATCTACATAAACAAATAATGAAAAAAGATACAAAATTTCAAAAAAGAGTTTTCAAGAAAATTTTTCAAGAAAAGATGTACACATAAATGAATTAAACCGCGCTTACATTATATATCTATTTACATATTTTCTTTAAAGATGATTTAAGATTTTAAATCACGACGTGTGCTAGGCAGTAACCGAATTCATTAATGTTAAACGTTTAATCATGATCTGATTTCTTTGTAAAATTTATGCTACAGCCTTGGCCTTTATATAAGTACTTTATATAAGTATAAAACTCTCCCACATAAATAGGAATTGTAAATGTTCTATAAAAAATAACGGTTTAACGTTCTATCATTCTAACAAAGAATAAGTTAAGAAACAGTTTATTAAAAAATAATTTATTTGTATGTGACAATTTTAATATTTTGTTTATTTTTTGCTTTATTTATTATCGCCTTTTCTAGGAAATATAATAAATTGAGAGTGCACACAGAAAAATATTATTTCACTGCTAAGAAAAGTGATTTCTCATTTTACTTTCTTTTCTTTAAATAACAGTTATCTTTAACAAAGAATATTTTCTTAATAATAATCTTAAAATATACTTATTACAAATTTTAGAGAAAAACTCGTTAGTATTCAATATAACAATTTATTTTCTTTTGAAGAATATATTATAAAATTTTATCGAAGAAGAGATTTTATATAATAAGCAAATCGATTTGATAATCTTGAGTATTGTGTATTAATTCAGAATTGAACTTATTAGAATTCGGAATATATTTTAAATAAATTTATGATAAACTTATAATAGACTTGTGAACATATAAATTTTGAAATATTTGAAACAAGTCATTAATAATTAAATGTAATATATTTCACGTAACACAGCAGTGCCTAAAATTCACTTGCATAAACGTTTTTTGAACACTTTACAAGCCCTGCTGTGCTACATACAGTTACATGACATGTATTTTTCTGTGTGTGCTTTATACTTATAGCCAAGGCTGTAAATATATCTGCGAAATGAAGAAAGTATTTATTAAAAAATGATCTCTACATGCAACTCTACGATTCTACAATTTTTTTTTATTATTTAAAACTGTAAATTTCTCTGTGATGACATATCTGCGCAATGATCGATAAAACCTGCAATTCGTAAAATCTCTTTGATTATATTTATGCTGTTCCACCCTAATTATAAATTAGAACAATGTAGCCGTCGCACCGGTATTTTTGAATAATTTATTTCCTATTATTAATTGAATCGACGTTAAAATTAATAGATTGCGATGTGACGCACATAGCCAAATGACGCACCTCACGAGTGTCAGCCGTAACAGACATTTGCTTTATCAACGTCAATAGTCGTTTTATTTCGTCTTCTCTGTCCGCCAACGTGCAACTTTGCTCGTGATATTGCTTTTGAAGCATATCACGTTCCCGCCAGACATTTTTCATCTGCTCTAAAGCGATACCACAGCTCTCAGCCTCTCTTGATAAATGCTCCATTTCCTTCACCTTCCGCTAATTCATCACATATTTACACATGTTAATACATTAAACTAAATTCGCGGTTTCTTCTAAGACAATGATGCGCAACCTGCGGCCCGCTTGCGAATTTTTTACGGCCCGCATAGCTCAAAATATAAAATCATATTTTCTATTTTAAGAAAATAAAATAAACATTATACAAGCCATAAGATTTTATCTGTTTCTGAAAATAGTTTTTTAAAATAACTCTTAAAAAAGACGCATCATTGCTCTAAGAAAGTAGATATATATTGCGCAGCCTTTACTACGTTTTATATGTATACGAACCATAAGCGACTCGTTTTCCATGGAAAGTAATTCTGTCTCCTTAACTTCCTTTCTAAGTTTCTGGATTTCCTGCGTCTGGAAATAACAAACTTGACATTTTCTAGCTAATTCTGCCTTCAACTGATCCACCAGACACTCGAAGGAAGAAAGCTGTAAAAAAAACAATACGATAATATCCACAAATTTTAAGACAAAAAAATGTGTAAAATCATATAAAATTATTCGATACTATTACTTTTGTACTTAAATCTTCTATCTCGTCGTCGCGCCTGTCGCTCACTACTTTCAACTTTTCTTGCAGGGTCTAGAGACGCGAGATTCAAATAATTACACAAACTTTTAATTGAACTAGCCGGGAGTAAATACTGCGATTTACATTAATGTTACGTCTCAGGATGCTTGTATCTTCGTCCTTCTCTTTTAACAACGTTTGCATGTGCCTATTCAGCTCCCGCAGCTCTTCCAACTCATCCTCCTTCATCTGGAAAGCGAACGTAAGTAAATTTCACCAGACATGTTCGTTATAACCATATATGGAACTTTTCTAACAAAATTTCTAATATTATTTCATAATATTATTAGAATTCTCGTCATATATTAATTTATAAAAGATTCTTTAAAAATGAGTTAAACTTTTTCAGATTTTATAAGTTTTTCTCAAAAATTATAGAATGAGAAGTTTTAGAAATCTTAGAATATTTCAGAATTCATTTATATAAGATTGCAAAATTTTTTTCTAAGAATTTGTATAATATAATTTTTAAAAGTTTCTCTAAAAATTTTTAATTTTTCAGAATTTCTGTATAATTTTATAAGTTTTTAGAAAATTTTTCAGGTTTTGTAAATACAAATTAGAATAGTTTTCAAAAATGCTGAAAGAAAAACTATACGAAAATTCTAAGAAAGGGCTGTTTTGATAAAATCGAATGGTATCATTTCATACACCAAGCTCGTTTTTCAGGACAATAATTTCTGAATCCTTTTGAATAATCACTCCTTTATGGTTCCTCTCACAGATCTCAGGATCCGAGTTCATCCCTAATTCGCTTTCAGACGTAGATATACTTTCGGTAGTCTCGTAGTATTGACTGGAAGGTGAATCGACATTAGACTGTTTGTCATCGTTTTCCTTGCACTCTTCCGTTTGCACACCCATTTCGCGAACATCTTGCGCCGCTTGGGAAGATGCGTCGACATACTCTATGCAAATGCTCATTTGCTCGTTGTGCTCTGCAAAATTTATCGCGATTTGCAATGTATTGTTTCAAACCAAAGAAAATTTTTTTCATAAAAAATATCGATCTTGTCTCTTTCAATTTTCGATAAATATTAAAAATTAATAGATATTTACCAAATACCGACTAACAATAACATAACCGTTAGTTATAATTTCCCACTCAACAACATAACGTGTTATTCTTAGTGAAAATTTTTCTCAAAATTTTTAATAATTTTTCAGAATTTTTATATGAATTTATATGAAAAATCTTTCAGAATTTCTGAATAATTTTATAAACTTTTTAAAGAATTTCTCGGATTTTTTATAAGACATAAATTGGAATACTTTTCAGAAGTGCTGAGAAAGTCTACATCTTTTCTAAAATTCTTCATATATGTGAATTTTGAAATATTATTTCTCATCCTATAATTTTTTATGTAATCTTATTAAAAAAAAAGAGTATGAGAAAGTTTAAGGTATTTTTGCAAAAATTATAGTTTGAGAAAGCTTAAAAATCGGAAAAAATTTAAAAATTCATATAAAAATTCTGAAAAAAATTTTCAGTAGGAATACATATAACTGTTATATATCTTATATTACAGTTATATTATGTAAGAAATTATAACTAACAGTTATGTTATTGTTAATTTGTTGGATATGCTGTTGTAGAATAAATGTCTGCATTTTTATAGTGAACTGGTGTACACTTTTTATATTTAAAGAAAAGTTCTAGTGCGCGCAATCTAATGCAACAATAAAAAAATAACCCAGTTGAAACAAACTAAAAGTAAACATAACATCAATGTTATAATTTCACACTCAACAATGTAACTGTTGTGTAACACTGTGTGTTATATTATATTTATATTGTTGAGTGCGAAATTATAACATTGTGTTACTTTTAGTTAGTGTCGACTGGAAAATTTTAATTTTTACTTTGCAGCTTGGACGTTTACCTTGTGTAGCTTTTACTGCAGTTAGTATATTACAGGACGTTACACGCGACATCAAATAAGTATTATTTTCCAATAATGGATTCCCGCTCAGATTCTCTCTCAGAACGCACGTATTAGTTAATAGCGGATGGCCACCTGTACTGTATCGAAATCTATCAGGGCGAAAGTATATTGACAGATAAGTATCAGAACATTGCAAAGCTGCAATCTTGTTTGCATTGAATAATATATGCCCCTGAGAAAACGGTTTTATTACAGATCCAGTTCTCACATCTTCTGTCTTATCGGTCCTGACAATATCTATTTTGTCAATAGCTCTATCCTACAAAACGATCAAGGACTATTATCTATTCGACTGAAAGATTTAACGCGCCCGGAAAGCTCACAAAATTCTTTAGGTGCTTCCGTTGCTCCGGGGTGAGACTTAAGGATTTGTATTTCTGCAGTTCTCGCCGCGCAACGCGAAGCTCACACTGAGCTTGAGCCGTAAGTGTCATCATGTTTTCCATTATCACGCTGGATGGTATCAGTTTTACTGGCTGCACACAAAGAGAACTAAGAGACAATCTTGATTTTCTAATAATAATTTAGATTTCGAGATCATTCGTTGAAATATTTTTTAATTGTTTACACAACTGTGTAAATATAGATATATAAATAAAGAAATAAATCTTTTTTTGAAACCAGCTTGAAAATGTTCTTTTAAAAAGAAAAGATCCACGTGGGAAACGAACCGCAGGTTTCTCATGCTCGTTGAGCTCGCGAAAGTAGCGCGTGCTCTCCAATACATTCGGGCTCCATGCTCGAATATCCGTGCACGAATTGTATAGCTTCAAGCGACCCTCCGATCTTTTCTGCGGCAGAACATAATCCCCATAAGTCAAAGGTACACCACTGCTTGGTCTGCCCGTCAAAAAAATACGGGGTCCATGCTCGGCATAAGACATCTCTTGTTAGTGCCGCGAAACTTCCTCACGAGCTAATATTTGCAAAATTTTCCGTCGTTCCCTTAACTTCAATTAACGACTGCGTCCAATTTTTGCGAACATTATGTTCCACGCAAAGTTACAGATTTTGGTTGGGGCTTTCTACCATATTTTATTTACACACCATAGTAACCGTGACAGAGAAGAAGACATCGATACTGAGGGGCGTGATTCTGAGAGACGCTTTATGCGGGATTATTGAGTAAATAATAGGACTTAGAAAATACAATAAAATATCTTTATTTCATAAGCTGCCATTAAAAAGAATTACAGCGTTAATAAGTATATTTTCGTCCTCGTAATTCATTAACACACTACCTCTTATCCGCACTAAGGAGTACAATGCGACGTACCGTGTTAAAAATATATCTAATTTCATTTCACAAACGCTAATTTAGCACTCCCTCCAAGTAACAACTACAGTGCTCAATAAAGCACTTAGTATATAGACGAATAAGTACTTCTTGCAAACGTATCTAATCCGTATTCCATTTGGTTAAGTACAAAAGTGATTCCTCGCTTCGAGCGGAAATACATACAAATTAAACTTAAAATGATTATCTTACAATAATACTAATTGTTCAATTCATACTCTTGTTCAAGCACTCTCTCTCTCGCGCGCGCGCACTCTTTCGCTCTCTTTCTTGAACTCACATACCATAAATATCTTTTTCGAAAAGATATTATTTTTTAAATATTATACATGATCTATGATGCATGAACAGACGGTGTAAGATAAGAACATTAGAATTAAAAAGAAATATATCTCAGCGATATCGTGGAATTAATAATGCAATTAATGCGATTAGTAATTTGACAATGATGCACAAATATGACCCGTTAAAAATAACGCTTATTGCGGAAGTCCAAGTGATAGATTTGCGATTACGAAAAAAATATATTCAATAGAAAAATATCTAGAATATTATAAATACATATATCTTTGTATATATTTATATATGTACATGTCTTTTCGAATTAAGTAGAAAAAGTGGGCTTGAGCGTATATAAAAATGGACTCATGTAACTACTAAGGCAGTATAGATATCTTAGAAACGGTGTCTCCTCATCAATGTTTTCAACGATGTAAATATAATTGGAATTTAACATTCCCTAACATATTAATTCCACTTTGATGAAGGCACGCAAAGAACAATATTTTACACACATAAAAATACAATCGTTTTTCCTGACGTTTCTATTGATACTTACCGTCCTAAAAAGCATTACCCTTCAATCCTTAGTCCGCAATTGGATAACAGATAACATAGATAAAAATGAAATTAAAATTCGAAAACTTCAACAGTCTAAACATGCGGTGGTGTGGACGAAATAGATACACGAATAGGCGTGTGGCTGCATTATAACGGAACACTTCTTTTTCTATCATTTTTTTAAACTAGCGGGAATGATATATTATGTAAGGCCACAATTGCTTTTGGAACGTTATTTGTCAGGCAGCAAAATTTATATTCTTCTTCGCGCTAGTGTAGTCTAATCTGCCTAATACATGACGTCCCAAAGCAATAGACAACTAGTTACGAAGTATCGAGATACAAGTTCACTTAATCCTAGAATTCGCGGAGCATCACCTCAGAGTATCAGTCATACACAATTCTCATAATACTGTGTAGAAATTATCTTCCTTTCACTATTATGTATCTCGTTTTCCTACATGCTTATATTTCGATATTTTGTAACGAATTATCTACTGCTATTCTATAGTTTGTAAATACAAAACGCGTTACCCTACAGGTGCAGTACACCCTGATCATAATTTTGATGATGATGATGGTGATAGTGATGGTGTTGAGTGGACGACGCAGAAGCATCGTCTTGCATCGTCATGCCTGTAAGATCGACAATCTCGTCTGCCTCTTCATCGCTACCGGCACTCTGCGTAGACTGACGACTTCCTGACGACAATTGACTGTTGCGTGAGAATGAACCACGGCGAGGTGCTGTTAACGCTGCCCTCTGATTTGCCGGCTTGACAGTGATGATGAGATTAGAGGAATTCGCTATCATCATATCTGTCACCTGTCCCATACATAAAAAAGATAAGAAGAAAAAGTAAGAATTCTACTCTATGTGGATGTACTTATTATTTATATAAGATTTATATTATTTCACAGATGTTAGAAAACATATTAGGATAACACAATGTAATATAATTAAATATATATTGTATGTATTCAGTAAAAATATAGTTTTATTGAAATCAAGTGAATGAATATTATTTTGTAATTCTATGATTTCTCGTACGGCTCCTGCACACAGAACGCGGCAACACTTGCCGCATGGCAGAAGTTGTCACACTAACCAATAATTCTATGTTCTTAAGTCGGTCTCACCTTGCAAAACTTCTAGAAATGATGTAATACTACTTCCACCGCGCGGCAAAAATTGAATTGAGTTCAATTTTTGTCGCGCGGTGGAAATTATACATTTATTACTTCTAAGCAAGCAAGATGTTGATTGGCTATCACGCCAAATTCCGCCGCGCGGCAAGTGTTGCCGCATTCTGTATGCAGGAGCCAAAATTCCTCTTTTGCTACAACAATGATACAATTCTAAAAATCAAAGTTTTCAAAAAAATAAGTTTCAACGTTTCGAATCATTAAAATTTTGTAATATTAATTTTAAGATGCAATTTTGACGTAATAACTGAGAATAGAAGAATAAAACATGTTCTTTTAAAATGTTTTTTTTATTAATTTTTATTAATTTCTGTTTTCTTTTTGCAAGCAACGAAAAAATGACAATCATTGAGTTATGTCATTATTGTAGTAAATGATATCAACATTTGGTAATTTAATGCAACTTAATAAATCATTTTTGTAAAACTACCATTTTTGTAAAATTTCTTTACCTGATCGAGCGTTTTTCCTGCAACTTCTATACCGTTTACTTCCAAAACCTCATCATTCACAGCTAGAAGCCCTGTACTTTCTGCTAAGCCACCCGGTACCAATCTACTAATGAATACACCTGGAACCTTCTCAATTCCACCACCAGCAGACGGCGGCAGTACGCGATAGCTTTCACCATCCTTGATATAAAATCCCAAAGGTTTATCAGATCCATGTTTTAATAGACGTACACGTCGACAGGTTTCTGGCAGTATGTCGACATCAATAATTGCAGATACCTGACAAGCAAGTGTAAGTCAATAAATAATGCAAATAAATGATCAGCGGATAACATAAAAAAATATGCAATGAAGAGCAAACTTACCTGCCTAAAATCATGTGGATTTGAAATGACTATAGATTTTGGCTTGCCTGGTGTACCACCTAAGATACTGGATATCAAATTTTTAGGTTTCATTGTACCATATCCATTATCCCATGCTCCGTCGCCTACCAGAACAATTAAATTAAGGCTGTTTTCCAGCAAAAGACATAAACAACACAGTGTAACATAGGCTATTTTCCTTTTAAAAAACATAATCAACACAAGTGTCATTCTATCTTCATTAATCATTGAATGCCAAGAAGGATAGAATGACATTTGTGCCAATTATGTCTTCTAAAAGAAAAGTAGTCACTGTGAATTATTTCAACTTTGTTTAACATTGGCAAACAACAAGGAATGTTTTCCATTTGATATTTTCTATCTTTATTGTTAATCAGAGAATGCCAAAAAAGATAAAATTATATTTGTGTTGACTTCTGTCACAAAGTATCCAAGAATATGATGATTTACTGTGGTAGACTGATATTACATTTGTTGTACAAATTTACATTTATAAGACAAATTTCTCAAACTTGTTAATTGGCTGTAGGACAGAGAAGTTCTTGGATTTCTCTATGCAAAATATATAGGGTGCTTTCCATTTGATGATACAAATTAACGCAAGTAAATTCTATCTTTGCGTAATTCTATCTTTGTTATTCACTGAATGATAAGAAAAATAGAATGTTTATGGAAAATTAAATGGAAAACAACCTAAACATTTTGCACCCATATATACATACAGATTGAGGAGTATAATATACAGTGCAAGAATCTTACCTTTTCTATGTATAAAAATTCGAAGCAGGCACTTAGCATTTGCTAGAGCCCTCGCAAGATTGTTATCATTATTGATGGGAAGTAAATCACCATCTGTATCCGTGTACCAAATTGAAAAGCTGAAATCTGCCCCCAGGTCATGTCTTTGCGCCAATAGCTTTCCAAAGTCCTCATAACTCATAGGCTCGTTACGATTCATGGAGAATCTGATGATGTCGGCGTCAAACTGTAAAATAATTTAAATAATGCGCAATCCCGCGAACATCCTCCATATCCCATATTATCCACGACTGATGGCACAACGTGTACACCCACTTTGCTTTTCACGGCGACGATGCCGTTGTCCACCTTGTCCTGCTTCTTGGACATCCTCGGAGCTGTCTTCACCTAACGACGTGCCACTACTCCACTACTGGCTGACTCAACTAGCCTACGAGGAACAGAGTGGAACAGAGGAAGACTAAGGAAGACAGGAAGACGTACATACCAAACAACGACGGCGTGCACGGCGCAATTCGACTACAGCCACGGTGAATGCCTAATAGCAAAGAGAAACCTGTAGCTGGTTCTACATTAGTCGCATCGTAGCGTCGCAAGCGTTGCGGTCCAATCAACATCGATCTAGCTTGATTCTGATTGGACCACAACGCGAAAGCGGACATAAGCCTTTCTCCTGTAACCATAAAATGCTGTAGGCTGTAGGGACCGAACAGGTTAACTAACATTAGTATAGTAACCTCATATATCTAGGTTAAGTATCACATACCTGAATTTGGTATCATTTGTTCAAAGAGGTTGTATACATAAAGGCCTGTATTCAGAACGCGCTTACAACGATGTTAGCGCACTAACATACTATACTTTACGTCACGCATATTATAGAATTTCAGAGATAAAAGCGCATTTTTATCGATAAAAGCGTATTCTGAATACGGGCCATAGGATATAGCAAATCGGTCACTTGCACTGTGCTGCACACTAGGGGCGGAATCCATAGATGTTGCTCAAGATTCGAGATGGTCTTAAGCTAGTGCATGAACCAATCAGAGAGCCGTATTAGCATCTTAAGTAAGTCATTGGTCGCGTTCAGCAGACTCAACTGTTGCGGAGCGGATCAATGAGCTCTCGCTGCTATTGGATGATCTAAAAGAATACACCAATAGCAGTGAGCGCTCACGGATCCGCTCCACAACAGTTGAGTCTGCTGAACGCGACCATTGGTGCATTCAGCAGACTCAACTGTGTGGAGCGGATCCGTGAGCGCTCGCTGCTATTGGTGTATTCTTTTAGATCATCCAATATAGCCAATCGACAGGCTTGAAAAATTTGTCGTACGACAAAAAACGGATGTAATATTAGCCTTATTAGAATTCACACTGCGTACGCCATCCGACGTACGACGATACCAATAAAGCTGGCGTCCTATGAGCAGAAATTTACAGCGGAACGGAACAGCACGACCAATCACAATCGCAGTAAAGAAAGCAGCATAATGACTGCAGAGTTGTGATTGGTCGCGCTGTTCCGTTCCGCTGTAAATTTCCGCTCCATCGGACGCCAGCCTAAGGCCTGTATTCATAGTCGGTTCTTATTTCAAGATCGTCTTAAGTAATGTCTTAAGACGCTAATGCGGCCCTCTGATTGGTTTGTGACTTCTTAAGATTGTACTTAAGATGGTCTTGAATATAAGATCTGACTATGAATACCGGCTTTAAAGAATTCGGTTCTAATTAGTGACATATTACGATGTGTCCGTCGTATGTACGTTATCGAACGAAAAAGTTAAATCTTGACGAACATTTTCATACAAGCATCATCGTACGCCATAGAAAACAAGCTCTCCTATTGGATATCGGACGACGCACGTCGGATGTCGTACGCAGTGTGAATCCTACATTATATTTCAGTGATCTATGCAGGGGATTTTTAAGAAAAAGAAGATCCTTGATCCAAAATCTATGCATGGTATTATGATCCTTTGATTACTTTGATTTGGATCGGAAAATCAGAAAGGAGATTAAGAAGAAGAAGAAGAACGAACCTATTGTTGCTCCTGCCCTCCTGGCAGTCCTGGCACTCTTGGCATTGCTTACAGTTGTTGGGTTTCATTTGATTCTGTAATAATTATAATAGAAAAAGACAAGATAAGTATAAGGAAAGATAAATATAAACAAATAATAATTATAACCTATTAAAGGTAATTTTTCAGCTAGCGGTCTCAACATAATTTTAATATTAAAACTGAGGCTGCTAAACTGAATAATTATCTTATTAAAACGTAAAAATAACGTAATTATTGACGTTAAATATGATTATTGACGTATCATTAACGTTTAATTTATTATATATTGTATAAATTTTATATTTTTATTTTTACATACTGCATTTAATATCATAATATCAGATTAATAATGTGATATCGTAAACAAATTAATATAATTTTGTACAGATGAGCGATCAGGATCCAACGAGTATTATTAATATGATAAAGGACCTACGTTCTGGAGCAGAATCTTATCGCAGAAGTGTCGGAGTACGTTTTTCAGGAACTGGCTACATATCCTCAAAATTCAATGAAAGCTCAGATGACAGCATTACTTCACCCAAGCGGCCGAGATTAGATGAATCTGATACGTCCATTAACAATAAAACTCAGTCTGACTCTGTCCCGAGTAGTCCTTGGGAATGGCGGCGTATGAAGGGAGAGGTAAGAGGATATAATCCAAATATGAGAAAAATCCAAGTAAATCTGAAAGAAAAGATTCGTGTTTTATTCCTATACTTAATTCCTTTTTGATTTCACAAAATTTCAAATGTATAATTATTTCTTCACTTTAAATACAGAAAGCTGTACACTAGTTCAACTAAAAAAAAAAACACATTTTTCTGTATAGGTTATATCATTAAAAACCAGATTGATGCATCAAGAGGCAGCTGTACAACAGTTACACAATATACGTAGACAGATGGAGGAAGTTTTCGAGAAGGAGAAAGGTCTCTTGCAAGTCCAGACGGAGCAGGATAAACAAACTATTCAACAGCTGGAAGTCCGACTTGACGTTGCACGGCGGACAATCCAGGATGCAAGAGAGACACATGATACTGCAGAGAAAGAATGGTCCCAAGTAATTTCTTTTTATATTAATTAGTTGTATATTTTTTGTAACCATAAGTTAAATCAATTTTAACACTTTGTATTTATTTAGGCAAGAAATAATTTAGAAAGGAAAATAGCATCATTATTAAACGAAAACGCAAAATTATCTGAAAATTTAAGAAATACTTCTGCAAACGAAAAATCTCCTCCTCCTAAAGATATTAACGAATCAAGTGATTTACAAATGAAACTGGAAACTATGGAAGCCAGAGCAGCAATACTGGAGGAGAAAATGAAGGAACATCTCAAGGTGCAACAGGACTACGAATTGCAAAATGTGGAACTACAAAGTATAAAAATGAAACTAGAAAAACTGGAATCAGAAAGAGCACTGTGGGAAGAGGGCAAGCTATTAGCAGGAAGAGCCGCAAGAGCAAATGACTTGGAGAAAGAATTGAATACTGCAAAAAGGACGATTGTAGTGTTAAAAGAATCAGTCAGGGAGAAATTACTTTTAGAAGAACAAATGGCTAACATGACAAAAAGGTAATTTCAACGCGTTTGAAATAAAATATTGTGCTTAGTTAATGAAAAACGTTTTATTACAGGCTAGAACATACTGAAAAAGTAGAGCAACAAGTGGCAATGTTAGAAGCAAAGCGATCTGAGCTTGCGCTTCGCTTGCAGGAATATGAAACGATTGGCTTTACTGGAGGGCCAACGGCGATGAAGCGAGAATTAAATAGACTTCAGCAAGCTGAAGTGGATCTAAGAGCAGAGGAGGGCCAGCTTAGATCGAAGTTGGATGCAGTTATACGAGAGTCGCAGAACTTATCAAATAATTACGAGGAAGCAAGGAAGTTGGCTACTGATATGACGTTGTCGAAAGATAAATTGAGCAAGCTTGTGAATAGGCTCCAGAAGAAGATGATTCTCGTCACCAGAGAGAGGGACAGTTACAGACAACAATTGGATATGTATGAGAAAGAGATGACGATGGACGGCAACAATGCGATGACTGAAAGAATACCGGCTTTGGAACGTGTTATAGATGGATATAGGTATATTCTTTCGTACTAACATATACAGAATATTCCAAAAATGATGGTACAACCGAGAAGAAAGTGATTCCTCATATAAAAATAAATTGAAAATATAAAATAAAAAATTTTTTTACATAGATATTTTTAACAAATTTTTCAATTAACACAAAATAAATATATCAGAAACTTACATTATTGTAAACTACTAAATTATCAAATTTAAACCGATGTAAAAATAGCCGTGAATAATCAGATTGGATGAACGAAGCACATGACTAGTCAAGCGTACTTAACAAATGTTCAAACTTGATTTTTTTTTTTTAAACAGCTTTAAACGAAAATATTTCTATATTTTCAACTAACTTTTACATGAGGAATGACTTTCTTCTTGATTGTATCACGACTTCCAGAGCATCCGGTATGCAAATCTTCAGTGAAATTAAATTATTTCATGAAAATATTTAAAATTGTCTTAGGGACTTGGTCAGCAAATTGGAAATGGATCTTCAAACAGCTGAGACTGGCACTCAGAAGAACGAATGTAATAAATTGAAAGAAGAGATCGAGCAACTGAAAGGCGAGCTTGAACATCGCGCGTTAAAGGGTGATTTCAACTGCAACGCCCGAGTTCTGCATTTCACGTTGAATCCCGCATCGATGGCGGAGAAGCAAGCGGAGGAAAAACAAGCCGCTCTGTTACGAGAAGTGGAAGAACTTCGTGCTAAAGTAGCGTCGGGAAATTATGGTACAACTGTTTCATCGTTGCAGACGCAAGGTGGATAAACTTAATTAAAGCATAATAAAGCATATTTTTATTTTTTATTATATGAAGCAATACATTCTTATTTTCTTTTAATACAGAAATCGCGGAGTTGAAGCAAACGCATGAAATAAAGATAGCGCGTTTGAAGGAGGTTTTCAAGGCATCTTCACAAGAGTATCGCCAAGCGTGCTATCAGTTATTCGGTTGGAGGGTGGACCGAACAAAGGAAGGCTATTACAAGCTGTCGAGTCAATATGCAGAGTCGCCAGATGATTTCCTGTTTTTTCATGTAGGAGAAGACGGTGTAGGTATGTTGGAGACCGCTTTTTCTGCGAATTTAGACAGTTTGATCGAACAATACTTGCAAAAACAGCATAGTGTTCCTATGTTCCTTAATGCTGTACAATCTGATCTGTTCAGTCAGCAAACAGTGACAAATGTCACGACATAATATTGTTTCATGTTTATAAATAAAACTATTATTCCTATTTATTAAGCTTTAGCGGACTTCAATATACAATGGATGATAAATATACAGTGGATAATAAATTTCTATAATTCTATCTGTACAAAAGCTGCATTTATTCATACATTAATGTGTTATGTTTTGTTTTCAAAATAATTATTTCATAAATGATAT